TAGTGTGCGGGGTAAGGATTTGGCTCCGGAGTGAGATTACCCAGGTGGGGGTCTGTTGTCATTGACTGGCTGAAGGAAATCTGTTTGGAGGAAGTTCTATAACCTCTTTAAGTGTCAGTTTGCTCATCTGTATGAAATAGGGAGAGGAGTGCCTACCGCAGAGGGCCGTGTACGGCTCAAATGCGGTGAGGGCTTGGTAGGCATCCTTTAATAAGTGTGGGCCGCTCCTGTTATTATTATTATGGTTGTTATTGCTGGCTGTGAAGAGCAGGTATGTGGTGTTGAGGTCAGCCCGTCGCCCCCCTCGCCTCCCTGGGTCGGTGGTCGGCACCTTCTTTGCAGTCGCCTTGGCCTGCGTTCCCGTGGTCACCCGCAGACTCCTCTACGCCCTGCTCCACGCCCGGCTCCTGCACGCAGTCCTGCTCCTCTCCTCCCTCCGCCGGGGGCTCCAAAGTCTCGGGGTGCATGTTTATTCCGAACACCAAAGGGTTCTGGAAACATCAAACACCCTGTTGCCCCGGGGAGCCTCACTGAGCGGAGTCGCTATGGCCTTCAGCCGCGCCAGGGAGGCCCGGCTTTCCTTCCCTGCTCGCCACTTGAGCCCGGGACGTTGGGAGCCCAACGCTTCCCTGGTCTCCACGGCAACCGCCGCGCAGGCGCACTCAGGTAGGCCCGCCCGTCCAGGCGCCCGGGGCGGGCCCTCCAAAGGCTCCGCCCCCAGCGCGTGCGCGGGTCACGTGGGGGCGCGGCCCGCGGTAGCTGCGGCGGCGGTGACGGGTCGCCAGTCGCGCGGGTCCGGCGGGAACAGCTCGAAGACTGCACTGTCTTTGCAGGTACCGCGCCCCCAGCGTCCGGCCCTCGGGCCCTAGGCCCGCCTCGTCTTCCTCGTTCCCCTCGGCCCGCCCTTCTCTGTGTGCCTCACCACGCCCCCCGGGACCAGTGCCCCTTCGCGCCATCGGGACACAGGACCCCTTCGTCTCTCCTTTCCCTCGGACACCCACCCGCCAGTACCTCTCCCTTCAGACCCGTGCTCCCAACCCCAGAGCGCCCTCCCCTAACTCCATCCCTGCGTTGCACCCCAGAGGACTCTCTTTTCTGGGCCTGTCTCCTCTCCCCAGGACCCGGCAGATCTGGGGCCCCACCCACCCGGAGCGCCGGGCCCCCCTTCCCCCAGACCCTTAACCGGGGTGCTCTCCATGAGGCTCTGAAAATCACCCCCTTTGTCCGTGCTTCTTTATTCTCTTTTCCTGAGGACTTGGTATGAGTGGAATTTGTTGTCGTCTTTTGTTCAGAATAAGAAGTAATTCAGAATAAAGGAGCGCTTGGAGAAAGGGCACCGCCAGTTCCAGAAGCGGTGGTCGTTTGCTCAGGCTCGCTGGGCCCTGCGAGGTGCTGGAGGGGAAGGGTTTTGGAGGCCAGTGAGGCTGCCCCTGTCCAAAGGAAGGTGCAGCCCAGACACACCCCAACAAACCAAACCCCGAGGCCCTCTCCGTGATGCTGGCAGGATGCCCGCGGGGGAAGAGGGACCGAAGCAGGGGGCTCACTATGGGGCCACCGTCCAGGGTTCTGGACCTAAATAGACCTTGATCTGAATTCCCACTGCCCAGCTCTTTGCTGTGGGGTCTGAGTATTGTCACTTTACCTCTATAAGCCTCAGCTTTCCCATCTGTAACCTGGGGATGATTGTAACTCTGTATCATAAGGTTGATGAGAGAATAAGTGAGCCCATAGGAATACAGCACTTAGAGTCTTTCGCATAAAGCCAGCTCTCAGTTTTAACCCTGACCACCACAGATAGCCAATAGCTAATATTGACCACTGAATTATAGTGGCAACTAGCTATTGAGTTGTCGGAAAAGTCATGACGCATTTTTGCAATGAAAAACATAGAAAAAATATGTCATGACTTTTCCGACAACCCAGTAAGATTTGTTGAGCACTTACATCCCAGAACAAAGCACTGTTCTTAAGTGCTTTGTGTGTATGACCTCACTTAATTCTTATTATAATCTTAGGCAGGAGCTATTATCCCATGTTTAGAGGTGAAGTAACTTCACCTTCACCCAAGACACACAGCTCTTAATTGGGGAGCCTGGACTTGAACCCAGGAAGTCTCTTTTCAGAGTCTGGGGTTTTAAATAGTACAGTAATAGTCCAGGGACATGGTTATTTTTTTTGTTGATTTAAAAAAAAACAGATAAAATTTACATAAAATTCACATTTAAATATTTAAAAGTATACTTTTAAAGTATGCGTTTTCTAGACATTTCATATAACTGGAATCATGATATTTGGAATCATGATTTTGTATCTGGCTTCTTTCACTCAGCATGTTTACAAGGGTTTGTCCATGTGGTAGCATGTATTTATACTTTATTCTTTTTATTGCTGAATAATATTCCGTTACGTTGCTAGAGCACATTTTGTTGATCCCTTGGTGGACATTTGGGTCATTTCCACTTTTTAGACGTTGTAAATAATGCTTCTATGAACATGGCTATACAAGTTTTTGTGTGAGCATCAGTTTTCAGTTATCTTGGGTGTATACCTAGGAGTGGATGTTATTATTATCTTAATTCCTACTGTATAAATGGAGACATGCAACTGAGGTGTACTGGATCTTGGATGAGTATTCCCATGTTTTACTCTTTCCACTCAGCGTCCCATTAATTCAGTTTAGTGGCCTATTAAAAATTGGCAAAGGAAGGTAAGGAAAATCCAAAAAGTCATGATACACCAATAATAACTTGGTCAAAGTGCTGACAAAGTTTGAGAAGCTTCTTAAGTTTTTTATCCTCAAGAGTGAAATTTGAGCTTTGAATGCAAAGCAGTATTTACTTATATTTATTGAATAAATATTGTATCCACAGCGCCATGCCAGGTCCTGAGAAGGAATACTAAAGGTGGATGTGAGCCCAGCCTCACAGCTTCGCAAAGCTACAGGAGGATTAAAGACATAAATCTGAAAAGCAAAACTGTAAAAACTTTCAGACAATAATATAGAAAAATATCTTTATAACCTGGGACTAAGGCAGGATTTCTGAAATAAAACATAAGCACAAACCATACAGGAAAAAAAGATTGACAAATTTGACTCCATTAAAATGAAGACAGGTCATTGAAAGCACTCTAGACAAAATATACAGAGAACTAGCATGTAGCATATAGAAAGAATTCTTATAATTCTGAAAGAAAAAGAAGACAACACAATATAAGAAAGAAGGCAAAAACTAGGAACAGGCATTTCATTGATGGGAAAACAGCACATAAATGTCAGAAGAATGCCAGTCAACCGTATTGGTCATCAGGAAACGCAAATTAAAACCATAATGACATCCCATTTCACAACATCCCGTGGGCAGAAGGTGAACTGTTGGATCTTGCCAGCCATTGAGAAAGAGGCAGTGTGAACTCACACTCACTGTTGGTGGGCATGCACGTTGGTTCAGCCACTTTGGCAGTGTCTACTTGAATGCATGGATGCCTTGTGGCCTAGCAGTGTGACTGGCATATTCCTCTGAGAAACTCTTTATGCATATGCCCAGGAGACGTGTGAAAGAATGTTCATGGCACCACTGATCATAATTGTAAAATAAAAATCAACAAAAACAACCCAAACGCCCCGCGGCAGTAGAAGGGGATATATGAATATGGTGTGTTTGTACCTTGAGATAGTGTGCAGCAGTGACTATGACCCACCACTACAGAAACACGGATGAGTCGCTAAAACAATATTGAGTGAAAGAAACAAGTCATCAAAGAATACATGCAGTACGATTCCTTTATATAAGGTTCACGACCAGGCAAAACTGAATATTATTATTTCAGACTCCATGCTGGGGTAATAGTACAACTATTAAAAAAATAAATAAGGGCAAAGGAATGATTATGTCAGAATTTAGGCAGGTGGTTTCCCCAGTGTGGTGGCAGGGGATATGATCAGGGAAGAAGTGTATGGGGCTTCTAAGACGGGTTTTATTTGGGAAGTAGGGTGGCTACGTGGGTGTTTTGTTTTATTATTCTTTGAACTGTGCATAATAGCTTTTACAACTTCTGCATGTATTTTTCATTTTTTTTTTTAAATTACAGAAAAGTTAGTTTTAGGTAACGTTTCCTCTGCCCTCAAGAGGCCTGCGCTTTACCTGGGGAACCAAGATAGAGAACCATTTAAACACTTAAGTAGAATGCAGAGCAGCTTGGTAAGTGCCACGTGAATAAGAGAGACAGAGGGGAACTCAGAGGTGGGGGTTGGTGTGGTGACCTAGGAAAGAAAAGCAAGAGGCATGTGGGCCTCCAGTTTATCCCCAGGGCCTGGCGTGTCATCAGTGCTTGTCAGCGAGTGCTGGGATTGAATGGAGGAGAAGGAATGGGACTTGAGCTGTTCTTAGAAGGACAGAGAGGATTTGAGTGCTGAGAGCAAGGCAGATCCAGACTCTGTGAAAGAAGTAAGATTCCTGTGGGGGAAAAATGCAAATGAAAATAAAGTGCACAGCCCTGGCGCCTTCCTGAAAAGTTGGACAGTACCGGCATTTGATGAGGATGGCGAGGGCCACCTCAGTTCTGTCCCAGTTATCAGAGATTGTAGAAATCAGAGGCTTTCTGGTTCCTGAATACACTTGAAGATTTTGGTTTAAGGGGTGTTGCAGGATTTGCAACTTATCTCTTTATGGTTCTAGACACTAGACTGACAGATTGTCATCCAACCATCCATCCATCCATCCATCCATCCTAATTTCCAAATGTATTCTCTTGCAGCTCTGGAGGTCAGAAGTCTGAAATCAGTCTCACTGGGCTTAAGTCAAGGTGTCAGCAAGGATCTGTCACTTTGGAAGCTCCAGAGGAGAATCTGTTTCCTTGCTTTTGCCAGATTCTGGAGGGGCCTGCATTCCTTGGACTGGGACCCCTCTCTCCATCTCCAAATCTAGCATCCTAGCGTCTTTAAATATCTCCCCTCCCCCCTCTAACCTCTGCTTCTTGGTCACATCATCTCTGACTCTGACCCTTTCATAAGAATACATGTGATCACATTAGACCCATCCTAGATAATCCAGGATAATCTCCCCCATTTTAAGATCTTTAATCAATCTGTGAAGTCCACTTTGCTACATAAGGTGACATATTTACGAGGTTTGAGGATTAAGATGTAGACATCTTGGAGGCCCATTATCCAGACGACCACACTGCCTTTCGTTTGGTGGTGCTTTGCCTTCTTCCCATGATGCTTGCTTTATTTTCTTTGAAAACATTTTTGCCAATCTGTCTTAGGTTCTTTTACCATCCATTTGTAAGCTTGGTGATGTCTGTGTTTTAGCCAAACACTTTTCCCAGAACTCTTGATTCTTAGGTTTTTATATAGGCATATGGTGGAACTGAACCCATCATATCTCTGAGGTCTGCCCCTATTATTGTAGATTCAGTTGCCCTTCTCACTGTTGAATTGAGTCATCTAAATTGTAGGTCAGGGTAATGGTATATAGGCCACAACAGTTGTGCTTTGAGGTGACTGCTCTCTACAGTTTTGACCATAATTTTCCCATGACGTTTTTATAGTTGTAATGTTACCTTTAAGGTTTTTTCCCCTAAGGTTTTTTATTTTAAGAGGTTTTTTGTTGTTGTTTTTTTGAGCAGTTTTAGGTTTACAATAAAAATGAGAGGAAGGTATAGAGATTTCCCATATGCTCCCTTCTCTCACACCTGCAGAGCCTCTCCCACTATCAGCATCACTAAACAGAATGGTACTTTTTTTTTTTTCTTACCAAGGATGAACCTGCATTGACACATCATTTCACCCAAAGGCCATAGTTTACCTAAGAGATTTTTTTTAAGTGTTTGATGAATTAGCCCTGATGAATATCGCCTTATCAAAGCCGAACATGTTCTTCCTGCACCTGTTTCTCTCTTGTTTTGATGTTTTTTCTGTAGAGGCAAGAAAACAAAGCTTTATAATAACTTTTATAGACAGGTTGTGTAGGCACCAGGATTTACTGTGTTTTATTGTTGCTTTTTAAATAAAGGGTTTCTCTAAGTTTTAGACTACTACCTATCCACAGAGAAATTAGCTAGTCAAACTCCCAAAGCAAGTTAAATGCAGCTCGATATCTATACATATCTTGGTGGGCTCCTACACTTAAACGTGTAATAAACTCCTTTAAAACTGTTTCCTTGAGCTGAGGAATGTAGTGGCTTTGGGGGAGTCCTGATTTCTTCTTGGAGAGTATTTTCCATCACGTACTTTAGGGTGGGGAAGAGGAGTGACAGGATGTAAGGAATGTACAATTTCCTGTTGTTTTTCATTTATGGTCCCATCGAGGTATGAACCAATGTGTGAAAACGGCGTGTCTGAGGAGCAGCAGGCATTCAATCACAAAGCCATGTGTTCTCAGCCCAGCCTTGCTTCCTCCCACTCTGTACTGACCAGGGGTCAGGACCCCTCACTTCCTGCCTGCACTACTATAGCCAGCACACCTTCCACAACAAACCCGATAGCTCCCTCCTTTGGTGTAAGGGACTTAGGGAGTAAGGCCAGAGTTCCCATTTGGCATAACGGCTTTTCACAATCTGGCCTCCCCTCCCGCCCCACTTTCCATCCTTAGGTGCCCATACTGTGCTGGAAGCACACTGATCTTGTGCCTGTTTCCTGGCAGGCCAGACCTTTCACAGTGCTGGGCCCTGGCCTCCTCTCTGCCCAGGAGGGTCTTACACCTTCTTCAGCAGCGCCCTCACCACATTGCATTGAATTGCTCTGTTCATCTTTCAGCGCCTTCTGTGTATATGGGGTGGCAGGGGCTCCTGGATTAACTCGGAATGCGTCCTTGGTGTCCGACCCAGAGTTTTCTTCATTGCTGTTCTAGTAGTTCAGATTTCCTCATAGACTTTCCTACAGACCAGTGACCATGAGTGTTTAGGCTTCTTGGCTATGTTGTCTATTACTCAGAAATAACTTGTCATTTGAATTTATCCATCTTCTGTGAGTTTGGTTGATGTGAGTCAAATCTCTCCAACTGGAGCTGCGTCTGGGGAATGATCAAGTTTCCTTTCTGTACCTCAAGGCTGAAGACCAGACCTAGAATGCCATCAGCCCTCTGACTCTCTCTGACTCTTACAAAGCATAGCAGTGATAATATGCTAATACCAGTTTAAGGTACTTGTGGTGGAATTGTAATGTTAAAATATGGTAATGGTATTTTCCCCCAACAGTTTGGTGAAGGGGTGTTGAATGGGTAGAGCTGAGAAGCAGGGCCAACTTGGGGTTGAAGCCCCTGGACACCACTGTTCTCATCACACCCCTGAAGCCGCTGTGTCTCTCCTGTTGGACCTGAGCAGGAGGTCCCTGGTGGGTTTTGCACGTGATGTTTTTCTTTCTGTAAAGAATCAAAAGAGTTTGTTTGGTGGTCCCCTCTGCAACCGGGGAACAAGATGGTATGTGGAGACTGAGAGCTAGACAGGAAAAACAGCCTGGGAGCTGAGCAGAGACTGGGCAGTGCCGTTTAATGCAGCAAACATCTTCCAAGCTCCTGCTCTGTGTCAGGGATTGTGGAAGGTGCTGGAAAAACAGAGGAGTCAGATTTGGCCTCAGCCCTGGAGAACTCAGCCTCCTGGGGGTGAGTCAAAAGCAGACCAGTTATAACACAGTGTCCAGGGTGGGAGGAGAGGGAAAAGGTGTACCACGGTTTCTTTTTATTTCCGCATTCTTATAGCACCTGCCCCACTCACGGGCTAGAAGGGGCTGTTCCAGATACTGCAGGACACTTCCTCCCCGCCCCCTCTGCCAGTTGATCAGACAGGTGCTGGATACCTGAGCTCAAGTGGGCTAACGAGAATCTCTGCCAGGAATTTGGAATAGAGATGCCAGGTGGCTGCAGGAGTGTGGAAGTTCAAGTGCTCTTCAGGTAGAGTGGAGGAAGGTGGTTTGCAGAGAGAAAGATGGGGCCCAGGGCAAAGCCCAGGAGGACACCAGGGAGAAAGGATGGCTGTGTCTGCCCCCTTCCTGGGCCGGATTCTACCTGCGTCTGTGTCCGGAGCTCCCGGGGTCTGTGCAGAGCACCATCTCTCTCTAAGCTATTGGAACAGGTTTTGTCCCATTTGATGAAATGTTCCTGAAGCAAAAAAAGTGCGGGAAAAAGAGGCCCATTTCTGCTGAGCCTTTCACCAGACAGACACTGTCGTTCCCTTCCTTATTCTGAGATGAAGAAATGCTTTGCTGCCTATATACAGAGGGTGCCAAAAAAATGTATACACATTTTAAGAAAGGAAAACTATTAAAATTGTAATACTCAATTCATACCGATAACAAAAGATGACTACAAGTCACGTTTGACTTCTGCAATTACGAGAGGTGCTCAAAGTGGTTACCATCAGCGTCCAGACACTTCTGATTACAGTGAGCTACTGCTTGAGCAACGTTGACCAAAGTGTCCACTTGTATACATTTTTTTTGGCACCTCCGGTGTACGGAAATTCATGGCATAAGAATTTTTGCGTTTTCTTAATTTTCAAAAACTTTGATCTTAGTTTCAAATAAAGTTTTCCCAGCTGAGCTATGAGGGTGAAGGAAAGGAATTTATTTTGTGTTGGTTTTTGTTTACAGATTGGCCTTAAGAGGAAATAGAGCAGCATATTCCTGAAGACCCAAGAGACAAGGTAAGAGGAAACCATGGTAGTTAATGACTAGAGCAGAAAGATCGGAAACTCCTTTATAGTCAGGCATCTTTTGCTAGAGTTTTTTCCGTTACAAATATTCAAATTCTTGAAAAAAATGGTCTGGGGCGGGGGGAAGAAGTTGAATTTCACATTAGTATGAGGTCACTTCATGAGGCATACCAGACCTCCTCCTGTTTAGCTAGAATCTCAGTATAGACAACTTCATGAAGTTGACTTTCCCACAAGTATTGCTTTGGCTACAACCCATTAGATCTTAATGCGTGGTGTTTAATTTGTCATTGAAAACATTGTTTTAACATCTTAGATATACACGCACCTGTTATTTACAAGAATAGATTTAATATTTCAAGTACTATATGTAGTTTTTTGTCATAGTTTTGTTATTTCTACTTTTATTACATTTTGTTTGAAAATTACTAGTGCATGCAAGTGACTATTTTCTTGCATTTACTTTTTCATGGCCTGGTATTTGATTAGTTACGACAAAAGGCACATGTACACTTTAAAATGTAATTTCAGGACCTCCCAACTTCAGGTAGTTTAACATGGAATTTCAGTTTTTATATTCTTTCTGATAAGAAGTTAATGTTTTGGCTGTTTCTTTGGGAATCTTGCAGTTAATACTATACAGGGACTGTAACCCATGTGAACACCGATACTGTGCCAGGTCAGGGGCCTATCCAGCCAGCTACCTGCCTCAGCAGGGACTTAGCTGTGTATCGAGACGGCAGAGCAAGAGACCCTTGAAAGGGGGTGGGACGTCATTCCCTCTTCTCTAGTGCGTGTAAGCTTTGAGAGGCATTCATACACAGCAGAAACAGAATGAACAGTTTTGAGACAAATGATCTTAACTTTGAATGTATTCCAAAGGGTTTGGGAGCAGACAGAGTGTTATTGCCTGTTGTCTGGCAGATTGATCAGGAAAAGGAAGGCATCTTCAGTCCAAACTTCGTTGGTCTTGGTACTTCACACTTCAGGAAATCTTAGCCAGTGTGGTTCATGAAGAAAAATTACCCTCAAGGAGCATTGGATTGCATTTATTAAGTATTTGGTGTGTGTACTTAATAAAGTTTATAAAGTTTTCTTTTCATGATCAATCTTGGCTTTCTTAATGTATGAGGTAAGTTTCTATGAACAGAACCGCAGTATTTATAGCATTTTACCTGTTGGAAATAAGGTGGCCCAACTTCAGTCATTTTGTATACTGTTATTTGACAAAAACATCCTTTAACTTGCTTAATGCCACATCAGCTTAGTTAGTAATATGGTAGCAATGTAAAACTTTCTGTTTGACGAGAGAGTTTGGCCTTATTGGGGGGTATTTAAGAACTCTACTGCCTACCCATTTTTTCAGTTTTCTATCATATTTCCTTTGTATGTTTTGTTTTTAATTTGGACTACACATTCATATATGTATATATATATATATATATATATATATATATATTCAACACATATATTCATATATTCAACAGTTTTGATTATTTTATGTGCCTTTTATCACAATCTGGTGTCATTTTTATATAAACATTCCATTTGTGGTTAATTTATTTTCTCCTGCTTATTTCAGTTTTCATTCTGTGCTTGGCTGAGCTCATTTTGTAGCCGAGTGGGAGGGAATTCACTCATTCTTCCTTAAGCTTATGTCAATTTTTGCTGCTATTATTGGGTATTTTCTTAGTGTCAGGATTCCTCCACTCCACCTCCCATTTTAATGGAATTTCTATAAGAGGGACTAATCCTAGAAGTTTTCTATACATACATTTTGGCTTAAAATCAATATTATTTAATAAATGCTGTATCCTCGTGTTTGTGTAAATCTGATCTCCCTGTAATTTAATTATAGTCTCTTCTGGTCTGTTTGATATTTTGTCCCTCATCAGTCATGCACAGTTGGATCAGTGGCTCCCCAGGTCCAGTAGGATGAAGTTCATCATCCTTGGTCATGCCCGGCCCTTGTCTACCTCTGCAGGGTTGTATCTGATTGCAGGCCTACATATACCAGTTTATATGGCATTGAAAATTACTTTGATAACTGTCTGTCTCTTCTCTTACATATAGTTATTTCATTCCTCTTTGAATCCTTAGCATCTGTCACAGTACATGAACATAGTAGGTGCTTTGTAAATTCTTGCTGTGTGAATATTACAAGAGTTGTATTGGACTTTTCTTTCCTTAAACATAAGGGAACAAAGATAATGGTGAACAAATTAAGCTAGTAAGATGGAGGAGTGCTTACTCCATTATCATTTCAGGAAACCATTTCTTTAAGTTTGTGGAGTATTTCTTTTTAAATATACATTTGTGTATGTTATTTATACATAATATTTGCTTAATTTATATGAGTTTATTAAAGCTTAGTTTTGTCTCAAATGGACTGTATTCCCTTTGTTACCAAGGTCATGTTTTAATATTACTTCTATTTCTTCTACTTTGTTTCTACATGGGTAGGAGGCCCTCTGCACTTGCTGATTATGAATAAAACAAAGAAATCCTCCTCGGCAGTTAGATGAATTATAAAGTCTGTGCCTGTCATTATACTGGGCTCGGAGCTTTTTTAGGGCAAGAGCATGTTGTGTTTTATCTCTGTATCCACAACATGTTGTAGCACAGCACCCGAATTTTAGTTGTCAACACAACTAATCTCCTTGGAAGAAAAGAACCTTATAAACTACAAATGTTAATGAGATCATAAATTGCCTGGATCCATGGGCTACATGCATTTGAACTGTTACTGTTATCTGAATGCAAAATTGTTAAGCTCTGATGTCCTCAGATGTCTTTCTTCACTCGGACTATGCGCATTCCTTTAACTTCCTGAACAAAGAACACCTCTCTTTTCCCTTTCCTGCAGGCTGCCATGGCCGCCGTTGACAGCTTCTACCTCTTGTATAGGGAAATCGCCAGGTCGTGCAATTGCTACATGGAAGCTCTAGCCTTGGTTGGGGCCTGGTATACAGCCAGGAAAAGCATCACCGTCATCTGTGACTTTTACAGCCTGATCAGGCTGCACTTTGTCCCTCGCCTGGTGAGCAGAGCAGATCTGATCAAGCAGTATGGAAGATGGGCAGTTGTGAGTGGTAAGAAATGAGAATTCAATTATTGCCTAATTTAAAATCGAAATAATTTTTCCAGTTTAAGTTGTGTTTTAAGCTGGATGCATGATTCTAGGAGTCACTGAATTTAATGTGATGTTTTCATGGGAACTTGCTGATAAAAAAAAATAAAACTTATTCTGTTATGATTATGTTCACATTTCCTTACTGTCCCCATCTTGGAAGAATTTTCCTGTGGTTTTTATCCTTTATTCTGCCCTCTCCTATTCCCAGTGGTGTTCCAGCCCCACCTTCCTACACCTTTGCCATTTTGCTGTGTTTTGAAATTGTCCTTATGGACTGTCTTCACTTTCAGAAATGCTTTCCTTATTTAATTTAATTAATTTATTTATTTTGAAGGAAAATCAGTAACATGTTATCTTTTTTTTTTCTTTTTAAATATTTTTTTGGGGGGATTATTGGGAGAACAGTGTGTTTTTCCAGGACCCATAAGCTCCAAGTTAGGCAGTTGCCTCAATCCATTTGGGGAGGGCACACTTCAGTGGCCCTTGTGGGAATTAAACCGGCAACCTTGGTGTTATGAGCACTGCTCCCTGCGCTCTATCCACCTGAGCTAACCGGCCGTTCACTTATTTTAAATGTCATTTTAATTTGTCATTGTTTCCCAGGAAAGTACTTCCTGGCACTCATTCAAGCCAGATAAATAAATTTGCAAACAGTTTGCTACTTTGTCTCACAGTCAAGCTCCTCCTGTACCTGTCAGGGTGTCTGGGAGAGCATTTGACTGGCGTGTATCTTCTGCTTTTGTGCTTGACTGACCAGTCTTAGAGCTCGCTTTACTTCCAGTGTGACTCTTTCTCTGATGAAAGCAGAAATGGGAAATGGTGTATCGAAGGTTCATTTTAAAGATCTCACCACTAGAAGAGCATGCTCACTTTTCCTGGTTGTATTGTAGGTGCAACAGATGGGATTGGAAGAGCCTATGCAGAGGAGTTAGCGAGCCGTGGTCTCAATATCATCCTGATTAGTCGGAACCAAGAGAAGTTACAGATGGTTGCTGAAGACATTGCTGACACCTACAAAGTGGAAACCGATATTATAGTGGCGGACTTCAGCCACGGCCGTGAGATCTATGACCCGATTCGAGAAGCCTTGAAAGACAAAGACATTGGCATCTTGGTAAATAACGTAGGCGTGTTTTATCCCTACCCCCAGTATTTTACTCAGGTCTCCGAGGACAAACTCTGGGACATCATAAACGTAAACATTGCTGCGGCTAGTTTGATGGTCCACATAGTGTTACCGGGAATGGTGGAGAGAAAGAAAGGCGCTGTCGTCACTATCTCTTCCGGCTCCTGCTGCAAACCAACGCCCCAGCTGGCCGCCTTCTCTGCTTCTAAGGTAATGTGTTCTTAATTGGAAATGAAATCATAATGCAATAGGACATTTATTGCAATGGTTTGGTCCCATTTGTGAAGCTCTTTACCAGCAACTTATGTTTGCTAATGCTGTATTTTTTCCTGAAATGATACTAAGCAAGTCTTTCTTTCTCCTGAATTTTCTTCCAGGTTCCAGAAAATTAAAAGTCTTTCCCCCTCTTCCACTTTAACAGGCTTATTTAGACCACTTCAGCAGAGCGTTGCAGTATGAATATGCTTCCAAAGGAATCTTTGTACAGAGTCTAATCCCATTCTACGTGGCTACCAACATGACCGCACCTGGCAGCTTTCTGCACAAGTGCCCGTGGTTGGTGCCTTCGCCAAAAGTATACGCACATCATGCTGTTTCTACCCTTGGCATTTCAAAAAGGACCACCGGATACTGGTCTCATTCTATCCAGGTAACAGTATGCGCTCAGCTCTTGTAATAATTAGGTTAATGCACCCTAACCCTTTCTAAATGATACATGGGAATCTGATTGAAGCCTAATGCTGAAAGGTGAGAATCGCAAATTCTGATTCTTCAAACTGACACTCTTAGTGGTTCTGGTTAAGTCACTAAATTCTTTTTTGTGGAATTATTATATTAAGAACATTCTACTTAATATTATATTAAGAACACCTGAGAGATGAAATATGCTACTTTAATATAAGTAGATTGTAACAGTATAAAAATACTAAGAATTAATATGGGAATTTCAAAGTAAAAAAGGTTCTAATAATGCTTAAGGAGGTACCTCTAAGTTGACAACGTAATCCCAAAACATAAAACCACAGAATAGGTCTATATTTTATGTAACCATTATGTCAGATAATATCTCAGTATATTCTTAGACTCCTTTGTTCAAGAAACAGCTTTTTGTTTTATATGTTTATTTTTCAGGCATGACACAGTTTAGGTCGTTAGTATTTAAAACAGTAACTTTGTTAAATATTTGAAAATTTCATTCTAAGTATTACATAGAGAGCTCATAATGATTTATTATAATAGAGTTGTGTTTCTATATCTGGCATAGTAAGTAAATATGCCCTAATTTAGACGTCTTTTCTCTTTAATATGTACCATTTTCTTAAATTACCAAACAGATATTTTGAGACTCTTTGCATAAAGATTATTAAATTTACCATTACTGAATAAATAGATAAGTAAATTAACAGTGAATTTTTACTTTTATCCAAAGGTTTGGCTAAAAGTTTCTTTTTTTTTAAAGATTTTTATTGGGGAATTGGGGGGATGGGAACAGTGCTGGGGAATTGGGGAAAGGGGAACAGACAAGTTGCTGTCCTTTTGTTCTTCAATCTAGTTGTGGAGGATGTTGCTTCACTGGCCCAAGTTGGCACCATCATTGCGCTCTTCTCTGGCGAGGAAGATCAGTCGCCGGCTTCTGGACGGCCACTCACTGCGGCTGCTGGCCGCTCATGCTGGCTGCTGGCCGCTCACGGTAGCCCATGGCAATCCACTGCCACAGGGACTGCAGCCCACGCCGTCGCCGGCGACTCATGGCAGCCCAGCTCCAGGTTGAGCTGTTTTTCAGCATCTTAGCTGTGGAGGGCAGTGTCACTGGCCCTCATATGTGGGATCCGAACCGGGGCCCTCTGGCATCCCAAGCGAGTTCTTAACCATCGCGCCACTCGGCCGGCCCTAAAAGTTTCTTTAATAAGAAGTTTTATTGAAGTGGTTATTTCCAAGTCTTTAATTACTAGAGAAAAGCAAAGAAACCTAAAATCATTTTAGAAGCCACTGATCATGAGGTTCCCTGAGAAGTGAAGATATAACAAGGATGAGGTTTAGAGGCAGCAAATATTTTGACTGCATTTATAAAACACAACTTTTTAATTCCAGTTAAACTTTGTTCACATTGATGAACTTTCCTTGAGAATGTGTATTTTTCTGCCAAAAATTCTGTGAAGCCAATTTAATTCCTAGAGTAGTTTTTTATACAAAGCTATTAAAACTTTCCATTTTTTTCTATTTTCTTTTTTATTTTACTCAAATTATTTTTAGCATTATCAGTATTTTTTTCAGTTTTACAACAAGATTTGATTCATTGATTGCTCTTTTGCCCATAGCAGATTTCTCTGATAGCTTTTGCCATTGTGACTTTTCTTTTGTAATCATCATAACTTCTGAATGCGGTTTTCTCAGATTGCAAAGGTCTAAATTTTGTTAAGATTTCAATCCTCTGTCAATCTTCAGCTTATAAGAAATTTATTGTATGAAGTTTGACATGTCAACATATTGTATAAAGCTTTGTTTTGTGCTGTTTATTCTGGTTGGTTTTCTACATTATGAGTTAAATAGGAATTCGACTATTTATTTCTTGACAAGAAAGGTAATAGATTGAACATGAGGGGTTGAAGGGAAGGAAGTAGCAAAACATTCTCAAGTTTTGGGCTTTAAAACCTCAATGGTGCCACTTACTTAGGTAGCATGAGAGGAAGAGATCAAGTTTTGGAGAAACCATAGGAGTCTTACACATGCTGGATTTGAAGGTTCTGGGAAATTGTTAAGAGAAAAGGAGTTGGCAGCTGCATAGGTGGAACCTCAGATTAGAGGTTTGGTCAGAGGTAAAGGCTTACCGGTCATCATTTGGATGATAAGCTGTGGGTAGGTCACATTCATCTAAGGAGAATGTGTAGAAAGACAAGACAGCTTGGGCAGAGACTCAAGGAACTCCAACCTTCCAGGGGAAGATGGACTGTGAAAGGCAGCCAGCAGGATCAGTAGGAGAGGAGGCGAGTGGAACACGGATGCCAAGGGGAGAGGTGATTTTCAGGTGGAGGAGGGAATAGTCATCAGTGTCATGTGATGCCATCTGTCCCAAATCATAAAGACCAACGCATGTCTGTTGGGTTTAGAATCTTGGATCTCCTCATTGACCTTGATGAGAGCTGTTTTGGAGGCATTTTAGGGAGCAGCTGGATTGTGGCAAATAGAAGTTTGTGGAGAAGATGGGGACATGGAGACAGTGTGCTCAAGAATTAAGGCTGTGCAGGTGCTGGCGGGATGGATTGGGTCGAAAGGAGTTCTGTTTGTTAGTTAATCTGTGCAAGCTGGCAGAGACTTGACTGTAACTTAATGCTGAAGGGACGAGGTAGGTGGGAAAAAAAGGCTTAAAGACAGGAGAAAGAAGGCCTGGTTCCAGGAAGTTGGGGGGATAGGACCGAGAGCACAAGTAGAGGGGAAGTGGTGTGGACTTAGGAAACAACTCTCAGTAGAAAGCGACGGAGGCAAGAGGAGACGCTGGGGGTCCACTTGGAAATGGATGCATTCCTGTCCGATGGCTCCTATGAGGTTGGGTCGGCTCAGAGTGAGGGTGAGGCGGAGGGAGTGCGAGGCTTGAGACTGGGGAGGTTTGAAATAATAATTGTGAAGAAAGGAGACTGAGGCGCCCGGGGAAACACCAGTGGGTCGCTGAGCAGAGAGGAGGCCCGAGTGATGATGGGGACTGAGAATTGACAGTAGCTGCAGCTTGCGTGGCTTTTCTTCAGCACTCAGCACTTTTCGTATGTATGTATTACTCATCTTGAAGCCACTTCAAAGATGGCATCTAAAGCAATTTCACAACATTTCACTGACAACATTTCTAAGCTTGTATGAAAAGGAGTTAGGGAGCAGGCTTCCTCACTCCTGCCCCGTGCCTCAGCCTCCCTTACACATGTCTGTAAATCAGCAGTTCTCAACAGGAGCAGTGTCAGACTGGTCACAACCATGACTTCTTTGCGTTCTCCACAGCCATTCATATAATTTAACAATTACGTCTTGTGTGTAGTATGCTAGTTGTCTTAATAAAAAGATTTGTAAGCAAAAAATAGAAAACAAAATATTTGGACTTAAAAAACAGCTAGAAAGGACTCCAATGTATTTGCTTTCATTGTTAACTAGTTGTCAGTATTGATTTGGGAGCATTTCTTACCATTTTTAGAAGTGGCACCAGGCAATATGAAATGGTCAGCTTCAGGACACACAGTAGGTTTGACAGAGAAAGAAGAGCCTTTCTGTGATATCTTTCTATTTGTGATACTCAGCATAAGGGCCAGAAACATGCTGGTATGTGTTTGGTTGAAAAAATTCACTTGAAAACTTGACCAATAAATCTCTTGCTTGTGAATATGGAGACTGTGCTCCAGGTGATGGGATCTGGAGAGAAAGCTTCGGGGCATGGGGAGCGGGGTGGGAGAATCTGAGCTCTCCGATTGGCTCGAAGTCTTTTCTGAATTTCTACCTACTTTTGATGTATTTGTTCACACATATTCTGTGTGAGTGTGATACTATTGGAAAGAGAAAGCGTGGCCTTGGGGAGAAGTGGAGCTCGGTGGAAGTGAAAAGGCCCTGGGACTGCAGATCGAGATGTGGGGGAGGGGCAAGGGAGGCAGGCTGACAGCTGTGTCCGAGATTAAAGCCCTTTTGTCAGGTTTTGTTGCAGAGGAGGACCAGCTCCTTTCTTAGGCCTGGACAGACCGGTTGGGAGCCCTGAACTTGCACAAAGCCTTACAGAACCCGAAACCCACCCCTCCTCTCTTTCTCATACACACGCTCACACCTCCTCACCTTGGGTGCTGTCCTGCAGTTGCCAGTGCCCAGAAACTTGGCATTCCTTCTGCTGTTATCTGATCAGGTCCAGGAGTCAGCCCCTTTAGTTTATCTAGGTACCCAGGGGATGAAAGTCTCCCTCCTCTTCCATTAGCTCTTTCCACCCTGCTGCTCGGGGTGCTAACGTCTCGTTGGGACGAGGCAGATGTGGTGTGCCAGTAAAGTTCCGCATGCGGCACCTTAGGAAACAGGCAAAATACACACCTGGATGCTGGTCCCCGTGCATCATTTACAGTGGTCATGAATGGAAATTAAAAAACAAATTTTTAGATGCTGATTATTTCTCCACTAAATCAATACTGAAAAAAATGTACTTTAAAGGGGGATCCAATTATCTAGTCTGTCTCAGGTGCACCTTTGTGTTTGAGTGTGACGGTACTTATAGGGTCCTCCTTAGGGATCATAAGCTGACTTCTTTTATCACCTTGGATTTAGAACCTTTTGCTTTAGGACAGCAGCTCTAAGGAGGAATTTCCAGGGTTTTTCCCCCCATGAAACCCTGGCTCTTTAAAGAGGTCCAGAGACATTAGTCTTTTCCCCAGAAAGTTACCCATGGCTCCAAGCCAAATACTGGGCTCCTGTCTGCCAGGTGGTAAGCGTGCTGTGAACAGGTTCAGTTCCGGGACTGTCATCCTGCAGTTCATGGTACTGTGACCCCCTCCTTATTCAGTGTGGTCCCTTGGAGTTGCGGAGTAACCTGGGTCTGTTTATTAAGGAGACAGTGGGGTAACCTCTATTATTCTACTTCTGTTCTGTTCAAGGCTATAATTGCAGCATTTTCCAGGGGGCTGGTCGTCTCCCTTTCTTAACATACAAGGTGTTAGAACTTTCATTCAGTATAGCTTTCACTATAGTGACAGATCTGGGCTCTAACAAATCTGTCAGTGTCTCCCAGGGTTTTTCCACCGCTGTCAGTGTCTCCCAGGGTTTTTCCACCGCAGCACCGCTGGCATTGGGGGTTGGGTAATTTCTTGTTGTTCAGCCTGCCCATGACCCCACCCACTGGGTGCCAGGAGCACCACCATTCCGGTTGTGACAACCAGTAATATTTTTGGACGTTGCCATATGTCCATTGGGGGCAAAATGGCCCTTGTTGAGAACCCCTAGAGCAGAATGACATCAGCAGGACTCCTTGCCTAGATCCCCAAGTCATCTTTATCACATCTCAAGACATGGAACCAGGGTCCTGGTGTTTTTTACTCAGTTCTCATTCAACTTAGCTCCATTTGGCCCCTCAAACGCATTTTCTCACATGGTACTAACCACATGTGCATTTCTCTATTTCAGCTGCCTTTTGTTCCTGGAATGATTTTGTAATTCTTAACCAAATGAACACACTGTTAATATCCTGTTAAGGGAAGATGGAATCATATTACTGCCTGTAGGTCTAACCGGCCTCAAGAGAGAAAGGGGGTGGATGGGTGGTGATCATGTTTCTAGTCCCACTGAGCCTAGCATAGAGTCTTATGCAAAAGTAGGTCTTCAGTACAGTAGCTCCTAAGGGCTTATTCCTTTATTTAAAGTGGTTGGTTATGTATGTCCGATTAAATCATATGCTGATCTGTACATTTCAGTGTCAGTGACTTGGGTTCTAACTGTGTAACCTTTTTCTCTTTCATTTTTAGTTTCTTTTCGCACAGTATATGCCGGAATGGCTCTGGGTGTGGGGAGCAAACATCCTCAATCGTTCTTTACGTAAGGAGGCCTTATCCTGAAAAGCATGAAACTGGATGATGGTTTGGGAAGTTTTGCCACTCATGGGAACCTGCAGTATTTTGACATTCGGAAGAATGCATTTAATTTATCTTATGTATTTTCTTTTATTACTGGTTATTTAGCATACTGTTGACACCTCATTTGCAAATCAAACATAATACTTTCAGAGAATGCTATGGAAAAGCCTCAAGAGCCGCATGGGTGGCACAGCGTGAGTAATGACTGAGGTACAAGAGCTGATTGAGGAAACCTGAATTTCCAGTCTTTTTTTCTTTTCCTAAGCTGTTCAAAAGTTGGATGATTTATGTTGCTACAGCAATCTGATATTGAAGAATATTTATAACATGACTTTTCACTTCTTACAATTTCAGACGTTGTTTTCTAAAGGAAATTATTTCAGTAGATGGATTCTAGTATTAGTTTTCAAATGTTCATCAGGAAAGACTATTTAAAAGTGTTATTTTATAAATAAGATTGCTGGTATGATTAGCTGTAGAAATCTGTGTATTACTATTGTATAGCTCTAGTTATTTGACTTTCTGTGTAAGACAATACTGCCCTTTGACGATATTTCATTAGAGAATCATATATGTACGTATGTTGTGTCTGGTGTGTGTATTATGGGTAAGTTACTTTAAAAAAGATTTATTGTCAAGATGGCTTAACGTGGAACCTTACAGGGTACTAAAATTCTAGATTATTCCTTTTCATACTAAACAAGCCTACCCAATTTTGTGCTATAGGTTTGCCATGTATAATATTACTTACAACATTTTTTTTTTAAATCTATGGAATTAATGTATTCCTAGATTTGGACATGTAATGATTGACCCTCAGTCATGTCTTGATTTATAATTATTGTGGATAAGTAGTGATTTCTCAGCCTAGAACCCATTTTATAACTGAGATTTAGCCCTTTAGAGCTTGTTAATTTGGTTTTTGTACACTTTCCCTTGTAATATTATTCCAGTCCAGTAGCATTATTGGTGTGTAATCATCAAGTATTTATGGAATATTAGCTAAAATACGGACAACTTATGCGTGTGATATGATGATTGTATCTTGTTGAAATAAGTTAGAAGCTCATTCTTAGTTCTTGTAATTAATTTATGCATTATAGTGAATACTTTTATTGGTGTGAAGATAATTATGCACAACCCCCATAACCCATAAATGGGTTAGCATTGAAACCTACTTTGAAATGTTTCTGGTTCAGGACCTATAAAGGCAAACATTTTTGAGGACCACATACCTAGTGCTGTGACAGTTGTAAATCACTATATGCATATGACAATATGTGCAATTTAAAAATTTGGAGTTTAATATTGGGACACTGATGCAGAAACTAGTAAATTGATTGAAATCAGGACTTTTTCTTGAATTGTTTTCTCCTGCGATGATGTTCCATTATGAGTAGGCCTAAGCATGCTTTTATGTTATACCCACAATTTTGCCAGTGACATTGCCTCAGTATTTCCAGATGTGACTTGGACTCAGTTCAGAAGTCCTTCCACTTCCTGATCAGGCCTTCATCATCACGTAGGAGGAAGACATTCATATGTGAAAACTTACACACGAGCAACACTACATAACACCGAAGGTTTTGATGCAGTTAGCTTGAATGCCTTTATTGGGTCACATTTGGCATTTTTCCTCACCCAACAATTAATTTATGGTTATTAGACTAAAAAATAAATTGACTTCATGCCACATTGACCTGAACTTTGATGTGTCATAAGAAGTAGCAACTTCATGTAAAAAAATACCATATTTATATCTAAGGTGTTATGTAGTATATTGAATCATTGTTACATGATGAGAATAAGTAAACCATATCAGTGATGTTTTGACATTCTCTACTTGGCAGGATGTTTGTAAATAAGCTGATGGGCGCAAAGTCAGTGAAAGATCCAAACCAAGAATCTTCCTTAGGTTTTGTCTTTCATGAAGTGCTTTTTCCCAGAGCTCATTCGAGAGTCATAATTGGACCACAGTAGATGAAGTTTCTTATTAAGAAAATAGGAAACCTTTGGAAAATAAGAACCTTTGAAACAATCTTTGAACTGAGAATTTAACAATGAAAGCTGTTGCTTCTTCGCTTGGGAGGGGTTTTGCACCATATGTTTGTAAATTGGTTGTCTGGAATGAGATACATTTTTTTCCCCATAGGAACAATTACCTAAAAATTAGAAAAACTTAATCAATGAACACCTGTGGTAGTAATTCATTAAGAGCTGGTAATTCAGCAAGAAAATTGCACAAAACCATGTCTTTTGAAAGTACTAAATTGATTCTTGATCTCATTCTCCTGAAAGGATGTGTAGGATGAAAGTTGATTTTGATCGACTTTAGCAATGTGAGATCACTGGCAGGTTTGCCATGAGCCATTTTGTTGAGGGGTGAGGATAAAAAGGTAGATTGTAGTGGGTTCAAAAAAGAGTGGGAAAAACAAGAGAGATGGCAAGGAGAGACAGCTCTACTGAGGAGTCTTTTTGTTTTGTTTTAACCTGTTACTTAAAATCTTAACCACATTTGGGAACCAGAGGGTTAAATAGCGTCCTTCATCTTGACATTGTGTGCCCTCCGAAACCAAGTCCAGTCTGTCTGTGTTTCTGTCTCAGTATTGGCTAGGCTGTTACTATTTAAAGTAATAGTTTGAATAAAGATTTACCTTCCATAGTGTTGCGTATGCTTTATTACACACATGTAGCATGGGTTTAAGGAAGCTACTTTAGAACCTGGAATGGTGGAACCTATGGGCCTCAGTGTTTTTTTTTTTGGTAGATTTCCAAGCCATCTCTGTCTCATGTCCTGACTCCCTTCAATATATAGGGTTCTCAGGAGCTGACAGCGTTTTCTTTCCCATTTTGGGCCTTCACTATCACATGACAAGGATGTTTGCAATTCACTAGTCTATCTCAGTCCCTAACAGTTGCGCTGTGTATTCAATGGCCTAGTGACTTAAAGGCATGTTAAAAGAACCCTGGCCAAGACCAATTTAACTCCAATTAGAGCAACACAGTTAAGTTTAAGATCAAGTACATTAATGGTGGCGGCAGGGAGTGCTTAACTCTGAGGATTTACAAATGGAAGAGTCAAGAATTCTCTGAAAGTTCCTGATACATCTCAAAGGGGGGGAGGGAGAATTTAATCAGATATCGGTTGATCTAGATATAACCACCACCGTTTATTGAATATGTATGACTCAAGCTCTGTATGTGTATGTTTTATTTAACCCTCATTCTATGACAGGTATTAATATTTCCTTTTTGGGTGAGGAAGGTGAGGTACAGAGTTGAGGTACAACTTGCCCAAGATCACAAAGCTAGCAGGTGATTCTGTATTTACCATATTAAATCAGTTTTGTTAAATGTTAAAGAGAAAACGAAATGCTGTGATTTTTTTTTTGTCATATTGGTTCCATTCTGCGTTATCATGGTGCAGTGGAAAGTTCAAACAAGACAAGCGGTTTTATCCGACTATATATTATATAGCACATGACTTTTCATTAGCATAACCTAAAACATGTTTTCAGTCCCCCAGTTGTGCTGAATGCCAAGTGTGGGCCAGCTCAGCATTTAGCAAGAAAACAGCCTGTGATCCTAGTATCTAAATCACCCAGATATTTTTGGGGAGGCAAACTTTTCCGAGTTTAACACTGATCCTTATTTCTTCAAAAGGGCAACCACTTGGCATTAGTGGTCCAGGCGAGGTGGAGGGGGGTTAGGAGTGCAGCAGACGGGATTTGGAGCAGGGGTTTCTCCTGTGAGAGCGGGAGTGAGACAGGTGGCTGGTTCACAGGTGACGGATGCGCCCGCCCGCGTCTCAGCTGCCGTGTCGGTGAAATGGGTAGAGGTTTACAGAGTGGGTGTCTGGGGGTGCCGCCTGAGCCTGGCTCTGGATAGGGACACGTAAAGGCCCCAGGAAGAGAGCACTGGAGTACGCGCTTCAGGCGTTAATAGCAAACGCTGGCCATGGGGGCCGTTCCGTCAGCGTCGTCCTCCGTCGGACCTTGCCCGGCGCGGCCGCTTTCGAGCCTGTGCCCGTTGTCCAAGCTCCTGGCCCCAAAGCCCAGCGCATCCCACTCGGAGCCGCAGCCTCCTGTCCCCGCCCCCGCCCCAGGGCCGCAAGTGTCGCGAGAGCGTCGCGCGCCCTCCAGGCGCAGGCCCTGCGGCCCTTGGTTTCCAGAGCGCGCACGCAGGCCCCACGCAAGGCACGCACGGCCGGCGGGGCCGGCGCTCCCAGCTGTCGGCCTCCCCGCCCCCGGTCGCGCGCTATCGCGAGAGTTGGGAGTAAACAGCCCCGAATGGAGACCCGAGGTGTGTTCGCCGCTGAGGCGCCGCTATCCCGGGCCCACCGGAGCCGAGCTTGAGGCAGCCGCAGGTACGTCAGGCGGCCGGCTCCCCGGAGCCGCCTCCCCTCCTCCCGACCGCCCCCGCGCTTCACCCGTGTCCGCCGGGCCCGAGGCCCCGAGGGCGGGGGTCCGGCGTGCGGTGGCTGGGCCCTCCCTGCGACCCTGGACCCGCGGGGCGCGGGGGCGTGCGGTAACGCTAGGCATTCAGACGCACCGGCGGACGCGACGGGCATGGCGGTGGGAAGTGAGCGGTCCCAGGTTTACGGCTGGTGTCCCTGACTGGCCCTTTCTACGTGTTGACGCGGTGCGGTAGCTTAGCACAATTTCATTTTCTTTATGTGAAATAAACAGAAGGAAACAGTATTCCTGGCTCTGGCCCGTTCAGCCTCCGGACATACCCATAGTGCTAGGTCTGCACCCAGAGCGGTGCTGGGATCCGATTTTCAGGGACCCCAGTTCTTGGCTCTTTCTGAGTCTGTACACACTGCTGCACTGGTTTTCAAAAATGCAGTCGGCGCGTTGGGGCCCTGAGACTGTCTGGTGTCCTCTCAGAACCAGGATGCCTTGCAGACCTGTAGGATCTTCACATCTTGCCTTGCCCGGTCAGGATGTGCTTCCTGAGACTGTTAAGAGACCATCAACATTGTTATTAAGATGTTACCCCTTGTTTTGGTGAGAGCCCCTGAGAATCTCGGCCTGTTTGTCTATGCAGATTAAATTAAATACTTAACATTTACTTTAAGACGCTTGCAAGTGAGAGAGAGTGGCGCAAGAGCTGAGTTGAACTTTGGAGAGTTTCGTTTCTTACGGCCATGCTGGTAAGTAAGGAGCTCTCTCATTTCAGGGTCTCAGTTTGCATATGTATAAAAATGAGGGGCTTGGAGAGCAGTGATTCTTTCCAGGTTTTTTTGTCTGCAGCACCCATTTTATATATATACTTTTAAAAAAAATGTAAGAGCTTTAAGGTAAAATTTACATATCATAGAATTCACCTGTTTTAAGGTACTTATTCAGTGATTTAAAATAATCGTTGAAAATTTTCTAATTACAGTTGACATACAATAATTATATTAGTTTCAGGTGTACAACATAGTGATTAGACTCAGTGATTTTTTTTTTAAAGCAAATTTACAGAGTTGTTGCAATCATTGCCACAGCCCACTTTTAGAACATTTCTGTCACTCCCAAAAAGACCCCTGGTGCCCATCTATAGTCATTACCTATTTCTAACCCTAGTCCCCACTAATCTACTTTCTGTCTCCCTAGATTTGTCTTTTCTGAATATTTAACGTATTCAGGTGGAATCATATGTGGCCTTACGTGTCTGCCTTCTTTAATTTATTAATTTAGCATGTTTTCAAGGTTCATCCAAGTTGTAGCATGTATCAACACTTAATTCCTTTTTATGGCCCAGTAATATCCCATTTTATGGATGTAACACATTTTGTTTATCCATTCATTTAGTGCACCTTTTGCAAATAAAATTTTATTTTATGTTCCCATGCATAATGCAGATGGATAGAGCCCTTTATTGGAGGTAGTGAGGGGTGTGGCCTGAGTGGGGCATTTGTCCATTAGTTCTCTCCCTTGCATTCCCCAACCATCCCTTATAATCAAAAGTTGGTTGTTTCTATGAAAAAAGAAATTTCTAATTAAGTGCTTGCAGAGCCTTTGAAGCACCCCTGAGATCAATCGGGATCTCTTCTAGTCAAGAAGTTTTTAGCATTCCCTTCAACTTTACATGTTCTTTGATTCCATTTTCCGTAATTCTGATGCCTCTTTATTTTTGTGGCAGCCGTGTAAGTCCCACACATAATTAGAGTAACAAAAGCTACGAGGACTGAAGACTTAGGTAAAGTGCACATGGCTCCTGTTGGTGGTTTAAGTGGGGTTTTCCGGGAGAGATTTACCACTGCCTCTTTGCACCTGGAGAGCATAGAGATATTAGTTATATTTTATTGGAACTTGACAGCTCCAACCCTTGGTGATTTGAACTAGTAAGAACTGGAGGATAGACCTTGTATTTGGCATTTGGGTAGGGGACCTGGGTCTTGTCCAGTGTTTTGCCTGAGACAGGTTAGGAGGTGGCTAAAAAGAGACTTAAGTTGATTTTTCCTTCTCTGTTTTCCTCATCAGCTTTGACCGTTGCAGAAAGCTGTTAGCTAGATTTATTAATCTGGACAGTGCCTTTTTGCTTAAGGAAATGAGTTTAAAGTAAAATGAGGGAAGGACTGAGTTTGAGGGCGCCTCACACGTGGCTAACCAGTGACAGAGGACTGAAGGATAAAGAGAAAAGGACACAGCGGCAACGTGGGCGAAAGGCTAGGCAATGAAAGACAGTGAGGACCCAGCTTTTTTTAATTTTGGCACTATTGACTCTTTGGGCTGAATTATTTGTGTTTTTCCCCTTACAAAAACTAGTGGACAGAATGTGCCAGAAGGAATGGTTCAGTCAGGCTTAAGAATACACCTTGTTTTAAAGATAGTGTGGTTTGACATCTCTTAAATGTTAGCTTATGAAACAATGATAATATAGCGAAGTATGCAATTAGTTATGAAAGTGGTATTTTTACAGCCAAATTTTAATTAAACTGAATGGTACATGGTCTAAACACAATTCAGTTTTCTCTGGAGCTATTTCAGTCAAGGTTCATTAAAGAGCAAGGCATAGCTGTATAATTAGATGACTGTCGGGTGGTACAAGTCATTTCCTCTCACCTGAATTGTGTTCTTTAATTATTTGCAAAGAAATAATTTCAGATGTACTTTAGCTATACCCAGAATTATGATCTTAGTGATATTCTTTTATAATGCAAAGTAGAGGTATCTCAGAGTTGCAAAGAATGTTAACTGTCATCTAGACCAGTTGCTAGCCCAAGTAATATATTTCCTCTACTTCATCTCCCTTTTACGCATATATCTCCAAGAATAATTAAATGTTGGATGTGTTATTTGAGCACTTTTTCTTCAGTATTTGGTGTCAATATTTTTTTATTACACCTGTATTAGAGGCATAATTATACCTAATTATGGAAAAAACATAATTACGTATATGCCATTTTTTAGAGTGTACCTTTGTATGTAAAGATAACCAGGTCTCTATATAGAGAATTTGTAGATATTAAATCCAGTAAACACTTAGTGCATCCAGTAACAGCCCTTATTAGACCCTATGAGTAGTGATAGTATCAATTAGAAGCCTGTTCATTCAGAATGAGCTAGCTAAAAGTCTTACCTTTGAAGGTAGACCCAGATGGATTTTAGTAAACAATTCCTAGGAAATAGATCCCTTTTAAACTCTACTATATGTACAAATAAAGTTAAATCTTTAACACATTTTGAATCTGTATCACTGTCTTACCAGAAAATTTGTTTTTCTATAAAATTTTAAAAGGTTTATAGGTATTTATATGTTTTGTCTAATTATAAAAGCGTATCATACACTCTTTGTAAAAATGTAAGTAAATAGAGTTAAGAAAATAATTACCAGTAATCATACCATTGAAATGTAGAACCACTGTTACCACTTTGGTAGACATCTTTTCATGTTCTTTTTTTCCTGTGCATATAGATACATAGTTAAAAATCAGAATTTGAATCACCGTGTACATGAACTGTTTTACTTAACATTTCATTAGTAGTTCCCCATATTCTTTGGGAAATATTGTATATTAGTTTCCTACTGCTACTGTAGCAGATTTCTACAAACTTTGTGTCTTAAAACAATACAAATTTATTATCTTACGATGTTGGAGGTCAGTAGTCCCAAATCAAATCAGCCTCATTGAGCTAAAGTCAAGGTGTCAGCAGGGCTTCATTCCTTCCGGAGGCTTCAGGGGAGGTGCTGTTTCCTTCCCTTTTTCAGTTTCTGGAGGCACCTGCATTCCTTGGCTCCTGACCTCTTTCTCTGATTACTTCAGCCTTGTGTGTCCATCATCGTATCTGCTACCACCAGCTCAGTGATCCTGCCCCCTTCTCATGAAGACTCTTGTGATTGGATCCACCTGGATAATCCGGGACCATCTCCCCATCTCGAGACCCTTAGTTTCATTACACCTGCAAACTCCCCTTGGTCATATAAAGTAACATTTACAGGTTCTGGGGATGTGGACATCTTTTGGGGACCATTATTCAACTTTCCAAAGGAACATAATTTGGAATTGCTGCATAGCATTCCAGAGTATGGATGAACCATAATTATTTAGCTAGTCCCCTGTTGTACTTTTGGAACGTCCCTAGTTTTTCCCAGTTTTAATCCTTGGACATAAATCCTTGTATATTTTCAGAGTCCCACTTATATGGAATGAATTACTAGGGGAGATTTTAGGAAAGCAGGGTAGCCTACCTCTTAACAGTGTGGTCTCTGGAGCTAGACTCCCAAGGTCCCAGCCCAGCGTTCCCACTCACTATCCATGTGGCTCCAGGCAAGGTTCTGAACTACCTTGGGCCTCAGTTTTCTCATCTGAATATGTGGGTAGTAACAGGTTGTTGTGAGAATTAAATGAGTCAATACATGCAAATTACTTAGAATAGTGTCTATCTCAGTAAGTGTTTGTTTTTGTTATTACTGGATTTACTAGACCAAAAATTTATTACATCCATTTTTAAGGCTTTTCATACATATTGGCAAATAACCATTCTAAAAGGTTATAAGAATTTTTTTATATTCACTAGCTACATCTGAGAGTACTCATTTTATTGGGTTAAATTCTTAAACGTGATTTGTGTTTTATACTGGGTGTCAATTTATGTCTGTCAAAATGTTACTTGATTTTCATAACATAAATTGCAGAAACACGGGGGTTAATTTTAACCGAAATTTATTTTACTATGAATTGAATTTACATGAATCGTTTCAGGAGTTCTCTCAATTCTGTAGAATGAGAAATACTTTTAATTTCACTTTGACTAGCTATCCCATCTGTTGGGATGTTAGGATGTCGTCAGTGTAACAATTCATGGGTGTAAATCTCTTTGACATGGTATATGGTCTGGTTATGACACAGTGAGTCTAATATAAGAGGCTTAT